AAAGAGATAGAACACATTCACCAAAATGCATCGGCTACCTGCTTTTTAAATTATCTGCATTCATATACAGATAACTGTTAGCAGAGATAAGCCAAAATGTTGTCTGGATTTAAAACACTAACAAAAAGTATCGCTGTTTGTGTTTTATGTCAAGAAAAGACAGAAAGTAGTTGGACTGTAGTGGTGCACGGTGAACAGAAGACAGAGCCTTGGCCCCGTTATCCGCTGTAATCACCTGAAGCCCCTAAACATTGGCTGTTGTGACTAGAAGCTAATTTGTCATCAGACAATAGCCGATGGGCTCAGTGATTGCTCAACTGTATAATTAAATGAAAGTGTTTCATTTTTATAGGCCTCACCAGAAGACCCTGATGATATGCAGCAGCTAACTTCTGCAGGTAACATAAGTGTAAATTTAAAGATACAAATGAACATTTCTTAACGTAAAGGATTCAGGAAAACAGAAACAAGTGGCTCTGGGCCAAAAAAAAACTGTCACAGCCAACTTTCCATTGCTGTTCTAGAAACTATATTTTACACCAAATCAAACAGATAACCATCTCATCGGGTGAAGAGAAGAGGCTCTAGCGGTCTGCTTACTACGTGACTTATCTTCCCTCTGTCCACTCATTCCATGATTAGTTTCTCTGGTGTGTATGATTACTCTGTGGCCAAAGAGAAGGAGCAAGATAGAGAGACAAGATAGAGATTCACTATGAGAGAATGAAAAGTTTTGAATTGCCTTGGACAAGCAGAAACAAGTGAAAACAGAGTTTCTTGTTTTGAGCCTTTTTGCATTGTCGGCTTCAACTATCTGATTATCCCAAAACTTAAACCACAACAACAGCTCATTATGTGTGTAATTTTGGATATATATTTGTATATTCCACATTCTACAATGAAACAATGAAGACAAGTGCTGCTAAGAAGAGCGGGTCTGTCAGCGCTGCAATACTTCAATACAAGGGAACCTGAAGGAAGGAGAGGTGTCACATGGTCCCTGTAAGAGATAGGGGTGGAGGAAGTCTGTAACAAGCAAGGCGAAAATATCCCATCCAGTCAGGTTACCTTGTATTTCCTAGCCCAGAAGCACCAGTGAGCTCAAGTTGTGAGTGCATAGAACCATTGAACATATCCTGAGTTGCTGTCTGAAGGCCTTATAGGCTCCCAGTGGCATATTGACCAGGATCTACACAGTGATTGTCAACAGCAACATACCCACTGAAGATGATAGCTGGCTTTGTACTAAAGATTATCAAGTGGGCGTCTTGCTGCCACTTGGGAATGACAGCTGAAGGTTGACATGGTCCCTTGGCCCAAACTGCAAAGCAAATGCTCCTGCTTTACTTGACTGTCCTCCATAAGATGGGATGGAAGAGGCCTCTAGGAGAAAGTCAGGTTTGCTGACCTGGTGAGCAAAAAACCAGAGCTGAAGACGGCAGTGTATCTGACTGCTGAGGCTCACTGCAGGAGTTTCATCAGCTTTCTGCGTACACGTGGTCTTCAAGCTGTTTGGCATTACAGGACTCCACAGGAATCGAACCATCAGGACGATTACAGATGCTGCAGAAAAGGCATCAAGATGGATGTGGAACAAGTAAGTGAACCCTACTTGAACACAAGCTAGGAACAAATCAAACCTGCTGTGTAGTGTGAGAGAACAGAAACATCCAGGGTACATGTGTCCGAGTGCATTAGAAGACATGCAACAGAACATACTGCATGTTCAGTAACAATCAGGCAAACCCTAACAGTGTATGTAGGTAATGCAGAGTTAATAAAGTAAGACTTGTTTTATAGCCAGAGAGTGCACTCATTGTTTCCCACAATGCATCATGAAAAGTAGTGTACAACCGAGTCAGTAACCAAGCAATATATACCATCATGCATTGCAGTTGAGGCATAGAGATGAGGAGCAAGAGTCACAATCCTACGACAATCACGTAATTATCGTCACTGTCCGAACACGTTTTATTCTTTTGCTGATGAGCTCACTATAGAGTCCTTTACATAGAAGACCCTACATAGTTAAGTAGGGGTTAGTGAGTGAGTGGGTTAGTGATTTCGGCCACAGCCTGTGTGTGTGTGTGTGTGTGTGTGTGTGTGTATAAATGCACTACCCATCAGTAGGAGTTTCCACCAGTTGAGTGAGGACGTGTGATAAATCAGACAGACGGACACACAGCTGATCCCTGAAGTCCCAAACCAGAGACCATAGCTAATTTGAACAGACAGATTACTGTTTTTTTTACCAACAGAAAACCCGTCGCCGACATTCCCACAGTAGCCTGTCGACACAAGCCTGCCTTTAATTCAACAACCACTAGCCCTATTAAAAATCCCCTGATCTGTGGCCATGGCATTTACTTCCATCCTTCCTTTCAATGCTGCTGCTGCCAAATAATGCTCACAGGGATGACTCTCATCAGGAAAGAGTGTCTCCATGCTTATGTGAGTGTGTGTGTGTGTGTGAGTCCTTTTGCTAAACTCTTGTGCTGAAAATCCTAATTTGAGAAACGCGCTCAGAAAAAATATTGTAAACAGACTTCAAAGACCTTCACAGAGAGCGTAGAGAGGGAGTTAATGTCACCCTGTACACTGTGGTAATGTATGAGTGCTGTGCTGAAATGTATACGCCCAGAGTTAGATTTTGCTGATGTTAATTTAAAGATATCAATGCAATAACATATAAACTTGAATGAAACAGACACCAGGGGAAGAGAAGACGCTCTGCTCTGTCTCTTAATTTCCTTCTGTCCACTTGTGTATGTTCACGTGTGATTTTCTCTGGGAGGAATAGGATGAGGGTTTTTGTCAGAGATCCAAAAATTACATATTCAAAAGGTTTGTGATAAAAAAAAAGTTTTAAGGTGGAAATACTAACCAGATGGGGATTCTCACTGGAGGGAAACTTTACAAAATCTAACATTTAGCACATTATATTCAGACCCTTGCCTGTGTCACTCTATTTTGTGCTCAGGTGCATCCTTGGGATGTGTCTATAATTGGATTGTGCATGTAAGGTCCCACAATTGGCACTGCCTTTCTGGACAAAAACCAAGACATGAAGTCAAGGAACTCTCTGTGGACCTCGGCATAGCTGTGAGGCACAGATCAGTGCAAGGGTACAAAACCATTTCAAAAGCTTTGAGCATTACCACGAGCACCTTAATCATTGGGAAATTGAAGAAGTTTGGAACCTGATGGGGGAGAAGGACCTCTGTCACTAAGGTGACCGAGAACCCAGCAGTCACTCTAACAGTCCTTCATGCGTCCTCCGTACACAAGGGAGAACCTTTCTGAAGGACGACCATCCCAGCTGCATTCCATCAATCAGGCGTTTATGGTAGTGTGGCTAGACAGAGACCACTTTGAGTAAAGGCATGTGACAGCAGGGTTGGAGTTTACCAATGACTCTGAGAGCATGAGGAAAAATAATTTCTCCTCTAATGAAACAAAAACATAACACTTTTTTTAAGGACGTGTTGTCAGACATAATATGAAATTTGCCCTTCACACAGAAAGAATGCAAATGTGTTTCACGTGTAGCCTTCTCTCATCTGTTTTGACAATCTCTGCGACCTTTTACTGTAAACCATGAAGCATGTATTTATCCTTGCCATCATCATTGCTTGTGGCTTTAACCCTTTGTCACAAAAAACACTTGAAAGCATGGTGCTAAGTGCTGCCACAGTGAATTAGTACTTCTTATTCATTTTGAGATCAAAATGTGGGAGTAAAACTTATTGCTGAAGTCCTTTTGGATTGTTTGATTTGGTGACATTAATTCTTCTGGATTTTAAAATCAGTCACCAGACTGGTAGAGCTGCGACTCTACTGCAAAAATCACTCATCTCACGAAATTATTTAAATACGGCTAATGCTAAGTTTCAAGATGTTCCTTGAATCATTTATTTCCTTGATGCAAAATGAAGTGATTTAGCTTTTTTCTGTCCTGTTTTAAGATCCCGACCTGGTCAGTGAAGATTTCTGAGGAAGATCAGAAAAGTTAAGTTTATGTTAACCTACAGGAATATGATGTCACTTGTTTAGAGAAAATACAGATTGGAAATTGAAAACGAGCCAAACAACTTGACCTTTTTTAAGGTTAACTTGTTGCCACTGAGCTGCTGCCAGGGTCCTCATATAATTTCTATTTATCACCTTGCTTGCTAACAATACGTCCTGTGGAGCGTGAAATGGCCGCATGCCAAACAAATCCAGCACACGAACTTATGTCCTCATGACAGCAAAGCACAGGTTGTACATGGTTCTAGGTGAAGCCGTTCGCTGAGTGAGTTTGTCTTTCATCACGTGCCGCTTCCCTCTCTGATAGATTGCGTCCACAGTTACGTCGAGGACTCTTTGTGTTGTTGTAAAACCGACAAACACTTGTCTTTGCATTACTCTGAGCCTTGTTCAGGCTGTCATGACTTCTGATGTGCTAAAAGCTGTGTTGGCTGAGTCGCACCGCTCTTAGTAAATTGTTGTTGATCATACCAGCGAAAGTTGACAGGCCAATTCCTCAGGGAGTGATGGAGAGAGAGAGATGAGGAGGGAAAGGAAAAGGAAAGGAAAGGAGAAAAAAAACAAGACTGAGAGAACAAAGAAATCGAAGAGAGGAAAAGGAAAAGTAAAGAGACAGGAGAAACTCAGACGGATAATCACAAACGGGGGAAAATGAAGTATGCAGATTGCAGCAAGTGCCAGACATTCAGAGATAAGCAGGTCCACACACACAAAGTTATAATATGCAAATGATCACATCTGTGTTTCTGTGAGCATAAATAGATTCCACACAGCTCACACCCCAAGCTCCATCACTGTGCACACACCGTGCATCACAGCAATGCTGACACACACATACTGTACAAACTCAAGTAATCACACACAAATAATTGCATTTGCGTTTCAGGAGGTTTAAACTTTCCTCTGTCAGACCTGCCTGAGTCTCACACAAATCACACACAAACGCACACACAGAAGTGATGAAGGCCCACCTTGCCAGCCGGGTTTGCAGACAGGCTTGACGTCAATGCGAACAGGAACGCTGTGCAGCGCCCTCTTCTGGCCGCAGTCCCACGCTGTTACCTGGATCTCGTACTGCTGCTGACGGTCATAGCTCAGCTTCTCCGTGTTCCGGATGTTACCTGAAGGAGGAGAGAAGCGTCTCTCAAGGTCAAATTCAACACAAAGAAAAAATGTTTTCATTTCAACGGGTCTTCATTTTCTGTGATTCACCATGAGTAAGAAAAACAGATGAGATAGTTCCTGTTTGCAGCATTAGGCCCATTTTACAGCATTCCAATGGGTCACATGAGGATGAAGGGATTTCAAGGAATTTAGCTTCTTTAGGATGAAGCTACAACTGCAACAGCTGGAACATATTGTCTCCAGTCTTCAGTTTGTATTTGTGATTTCAACCAGAGTTAAGTCTATGTCTATGACACAGTCTCCACAGTGGAAGAGCCCACAGTGGTGTTGTACACTGGGAGAAGGAAAGCAGCATCGGCTCAGGAGTGTGACCAAGAACAATGTCTTTGACATTTGTTGGGTTATGCACCGTGAATCTGTCCCCCAGGGTCGGACTGTCCCAAGTTTCTTGGCTCTGAGGTGTCTGAGGAGAGACATTTGGTTGAACGGTGGTGTAATGGCAATTGGGTGCTCCATCATGACAGTTCAGCCCCTCACAGCTTGTTGGATGGGTGCAGGTTGTTGGCACACCAACACAATCTCTCGATTTGGCTCCCTGCCACTTCATCATCTTTCCTGAAATGAAATTTAAGCTCTAGGGTCAGCGTCTGACTCGCTGGAAGAGAACAGGACTTACAGTCAGTGTTAAAAGCATAAGAGTGCTGGTAGTATGCAGCTGCACACAAAGTCTATTTTGCAGGAGATGGGAAGCAAATATAAATCAGTTGCAGTTTTGGGTAAACCTTTTGCACTTTGTAAATGCATCAATGCAATTAAGATGGATTAAAACCAGATGGCTGAAGCTCCATGTGTTTATGGATTAATGCTAGATAGCATTATTGTAATTAGCTGATAAAGTGCACAAATTATTCTTCTGGTGCTTTTGGCTGTTATCAAATATCTGGCCCTTAATTATCACCAGCAGTTAGACTGGAGTTGGAGAAAAGCCAACACTGATTTGCATGTAACCAGAAAAACAAGACCAACGTAGTCAGATCAGTGCCGTGGACGATGGAGACACTTCCAGTATGTATGTTTAAATGAAAGAGCTGATGAAGTTGGAATATTTCAAATCTTTATTAGACATACTCTTCTAATCAAATACCCTCCAGTCTCATGTTTGACAGATCATTAAGTGAATGCTGCATTACATAATCACCAACTGTAATAAATAAAAAGTCTAACTTCACTGCCTTCACTAGTTGAACCGGTAGAATTGAAACTTTAGGAAAAATTAATAATTTGAAGGTTGAAGTTTGTTCAGCCAAGTGTAAAAAAATCCTCTGTATCAATATGCAGAGCGTGTTTGACGCCGGATAAAATCTACTTGACACAACATCTCACTTGGTAAAATAATTGTGTGTGGGATCACCCTGTGTTTCCTCAGTTGCCCTCTCTTACCAGTTTTCTCAGGTACTTTTTTGAAGTTGCTCTTGTCAGTGTCGAATCAATTTCGGCCACAGAACTTTGTAAGAACTTTTAGCTCCGCTGAGGACTTGTAGAGGTAAAATAAATGTAGAGCTAAGTTAGATTCAAGAATACAGCCCACGGTATTATTTTAACGGGTTCACTCTCATGGCCGGTTGGGACCTGGAATAAAACAGAGCCAACGTTCATGTTATTTGAGATGTTACACCTGTAGTTCTTCTTCTATTAAAAGTCAATATATCTTCCACTAAATGGGTTTTGTGGTGAATCTCTACATGAATCTTTAATGAGTATTTTAATTTAGTTGGGAGATATATATTTCACATGTTTTTTTGGGAGTCAAGTCATTAATTTTGAAATATATTAATTAAAGCTGATGTACAGTGAAATAAGTTATTTTAAAAAAATTGAAACATTTCACTCAAACACCAAATCTGTAAGTGAAAAACAGACGAGTTTATCAGCCGTCAGTGATTTGCAGACTGACTTTATGGAATCATAAAATGGCTGTGTAGGCTTTTTTACAACTAAACTGGTTTGTCTTTATTGTAGCCATAAGCAATGTGAAACAGACATGTTATTACATATTCATTGCTACTTTGAACTTTCACATTCTCTCTTAATGGAGCTGTACTTCAGCTGAGGACTGGAAGAAAGATACGTGCCTCCTGTTTACTGACTTAAATGACTTTAGTGTTTAGTGAGCACAACACAAAGTGTGAAAGTTTGGCACTTCTAACTGCATCGAGGAAAGTGAGAGGGTAAATGTGTGTGTCTGCTGTAATGGCCATGTGCATTTTAGACTCAATAACCACAGTGAGTGTGTACTGCTGCTGATCTGCCTGTGCAGTGTGTTGCTTGAGTGTATTTGCTTAAATGAATAATGGGTATTTTATTTTAATTAGCTTTCAATTCCAGCCCATCATGATATATCATTGTCACATTAACTGTGATGCCTTAATATAATCATTGTAACAAATGGCATCATGGTTGGGATGACAGGTAGCCTCAATCTAACACAAGTGCTTTGATTAGTGTTAATGTTTTTCTAAATTAAGTTCATGTTTCCATTAAACCCCTGTTGCTTCATCATGCAAAAAGAAGAACGATGCTGGTCCTCGTCTTACCTCCATGGTGTTATTATTTTGAAGCCATTAAAATGCTCTATGTTAAAAATTAATTGTGTGCCCTACAACTCTCTTCCCCACTGTGGCTGTGTTGCACTCTGGGCAATGTAGTCTTTGTTGTTCAGTCAAATTAATCTCGGTGTTACAGTACAACCGCCCACCTTTGTTAAATGTGACTTTATCCTGTACATACTAATGTATCTGAACACATCTACAGCACATGTCCATTGTCTGAACGTCTCCTGCCTCGTCTATAACTGCGACACATCTACCGAGACGGTGGCTTTCCTCGTGCTGAACAGACTGCATGGAGGGACCTGTTGTACTCCTACTGTGTCTGTTAATATTTGATGAATAGGGAACGAGAATGACTGACAACCCCTGCGGAGTGAGAAGAGCTTTGACATGACGCGAGACGCGAATTGGGCCTCATTGGCTGAGAGTTGAAACAGAGCTGGAATGAGCTGTTGTGAGATAACTCAGCCCACGCTCGCCCGTTGAGCTTGTTGTATTGTGGAGAGGCAGGTTCGGAGGAAGCCGAATGTTGATAATGGGGTAAATTTGAATATGAGTGTGTATGAATGGGACAATTAAATATAATTCATATGAGGACGGCATTGTTCGTCCTCCAGTCCTCCTCATCATCCATCTCCCTCTCAGCTTGTTTAGAATTCCTTCCCTCCTTGTTCTCCCCTTCCCAACCGTCCCATTGCCTCTCAGTGCACATCATTGTCTCACTGTTTCGCAGCCTCATCTCATTTCACTGTTTGCTGCCTCATCTGTTGTGTGTTCTGTGCTCTTCTCTGTCTTTTTTCCAACATACACACACACACACACACACACACACAGACACACACACACACACACACACGTAGCATAAACACTCACACCTTTCTGCATGGCGAAGGTTCCTATTCCCGCTCCTTCAATTACTACATCAACTTATCCGTGTCAGCAGGCTGTGCGTGCTTTGACTGCTGGCGAGGGTGGCCGGCTAGTAAATGACTACTTTCCCCTTCATCTTGCTCTCTCTATTTGCCCTTCTATCAGAGGAACATAAACAGACTAATGCAAACCATCTCGGCACCTGCCTTTGTGAGTTCCCTCCATCATTACTTTATAATTACTATCCAGGTTTACCAGAGCATTTCTTATCCAACTCTTTGTTTAACAGACAATGCTGGCAATATTCTTTTTTTGTGTATATAACAAATCACATGAAGAAACAACAATTTGTTAGCTTGTGTTGTTAGTTTGCTTTACTACCCTTCCCAGGACCGGCGCATACACTTCTTCCGGCCCTGTATTTGCAATGTACCATACCAGCAGCTGTCTTGTATGTTGTACTGCGGAGGTAGTTTTCACCGTCACCGACAGTGGTTCATCATCTTTGCTAACAGTCCTGGGATCAGTGTTTCGCCAGTTCACACTTAAAATGAACAAGTTCACGTTCATTTGTTCTGTTTCTTACTGGGATGGTTATGATCATGTATTTAGTTATTAATCAATGGTCAGATCATGAATCCTGGTTGTGTGCGTCACGTCTCACAAAAAAAAAAATGAAATTACCAAAAGGAGATAAAGTTATAGTCTGTATATCAATACTTCCATGTATGCAGCACTTGACCCCAAGCCCAACATCCTACTGTGCAACCATGTGGTTCATTTGCATTTTGTCCTTTTATTAAATTTGTTGCCAATAAGTAAAATGTATATATCACCAGTCGTATTCTTTTTGTATAGTTTATCACTTCTACAGTTTTGTATCTCTCCATGATGCTCTCAGAGCACTTACACTCACTCTCAGAGCCCACACCTCCTTTCCTCCCTCCATCTTCCTCCTCTCTCCCTTAGGTACTCTTGAGTTCAAGAGCTCTCAAAGCCTTTTCCTCAGCGGTCAATAGCAAAGTGAGACCCCTTCAAATGGAGAGAGAAGAGAGAACTCTTCGGCTGCAGCCTCCCCTCGGTATCATTTACAGTCAGGGCTTTTTACTACAGCACCTCAGCAGTAAGCAACGCTCGGCAGTCGGCAACAACAATAATATAAACAGGAAAGTCTCTTACATTTTTGTATCTTAAGCAAAATAAAAGGAAAAGTGGATTTTATTTAAGTCTCAGAAGATCCAGTGCATTTGAATATCTTAACAGTGATCAGATTCAAAATGTCAATTGGCTTGTACGTGAGGAGTAAATTTAAGTCAATTGATTTTGTGTCAGCTACTTAACGGGATAATAAAGCTAAAAAATCAAAACTATGGACTATTTCTGAATAAGAATTCAACAATGGTTATGGCCATTAAACAAACAAAGCAAGCAGACGGCAGGATTTTGATGATCAGATCTCAGAAAAGACTTTGTGGAACAGATGTCAATACAAATACTCGTAGTCTTTGTTTGTGGAGTAATGTCCAAGAGCAAAATAACAAGTGGCAATAAAATAAAGTCAAGTAAATATGTGCTCGTATCTGTGTGTGTGTGTGTGTGTTTTATGTTTATTTGTGCCCAGACTTCTGTAATCTGATTTCTGGAGACTGATGACTCTTAAGGCAACGCTTGACTTTGTCCTTAAAAGCACATTTTACCCACGGGCACAGACATCTGTCAGTAGTATTAAGTTTAGCTTGTGTGTGTCTATGTACGCAGGTGTATGCATGTTTAGAGTGTGTGTGTGTGTGTGTGTGTGTGTGTGTATTATAGATTTTCAGATCACTGTCACTGTGTTGTGAAATAAATAAATTTTTTTCCACGTAATATGGAGATGCGAGGAAGATGGACTTGATTTGAAATATGCAGCAGGAGAATTAACTGACACCACTTCAAAACAACACCTGTAACACACCGACTGTCTTAGACTGTTCGTATCTAGGAAACGTAGCACGATGACATTGTGGAAAGTGACATACGTGTGGATGCTTGTCACATATTTTGCGTCTCTTCTACTCACCATTGCGATCTATTGCGAAGGGCGTGGCGCTTGTGGTGATCTGGTAGTTACATATCTGGCTGTACTGTGGAGAGCAGTCCTGGTCAGTGGCCTCCACCTGCAGGATGCTGTCGTAAATCTTGCCCTCTGTCACTGCGGCGTGGTACTGGGGCTCCCGAAACACAGGAGCAAACTCATTCACATCGTTGACCTGGATGTGCACCACCGCTCTGCAGCAGTAGAGGGGGACAGAAGGGGGGGGGAGTGGAGATTAGTGGAGAGTATAGTATCATCTGCATAGAATGTTTCATATGAGAAATAAGAAATGATTTGATTAATTAATCAGTTATTAAGACAAATAGCAGGATTAGCCCAAAATCTGTTCCAGACATTCATGATTCCCAGAAGATAAATCTTAATAACTTAACGCCGCTTCTCCAGAAAGTCCCCAGACATTGATATCAGTGGTTTTAGGTGAAATGGAATAACAACTATTGGATGGATTTACATTATGTTTGGTTCACACATTTATATTCCACACAGGATGAACTGTAACAACTCTGATGATACAATTAAATGTATTATTACTGTTTATTAATGATCAGCAAATGCATGTATGCTAAAAAAAGGTTCGATAAAAACATAAAATAAACTAAGGACCAAATATTAGGACATTCTGACCATTCATTGTTTTAGTTTGTGTATCCTCCAAATCTATGAAAAATAAACATTATATCACTAAAGTATACCTTCAAATACATTTCAAAATATCCAATAAGCATTCATTAATGCCTGCACATGAATTGAATTATTAGTGCATTAAACCAAAATCACTAATCCTGCTGCCGATGTCTTTCCCTGCAAATGTCTGTCAGAAAAGTAAAATGGAATTAAGTTTTGCTGTTTTCAGTTTCATTAAACCATTTTGCTGCCACAGCAAAAAAAAAGGGGGGGTGAGAGAGAGAAAAAAAAAGAACAAAGTGGTTTTATAAATGGGAAAAGGTTATGTGTGTAGTCACGAGTCTGTCCATTTACCTAATCACTGCAAAGCGCTTCCTGAAATGCATTACAAAGCTATATGTCTTTGAAGTCCACACACAGGAGGAGGAATATTAACATTCTTTGAAAATGCAATGGCCAGAAGGAGTAATGACTGCAGCCTTTCAAATAATGGTTGGATCCTAACGAGCAGAGTTCGCCACCAGTGATGAATTGGTTTGGTAACCAGTAGTTGCAATGTGCTTTATGTTATTCACTATCTGACCGGACCCCATGGATTGCTTTGATTGCATTGCTATGCCAAAAAATAATCCCCTGGATCGCTTCCTCTACTAAAGCTATACACACCCTCCACAGTCTCCAAGTGCACCTAACCACACGTATTAATCATTCCATAAGCAACCTATCAGCTGCGATGCATGTTCGTTCACACGTCATGTAAAAGGCCAGCGTGCATCACTTTTAAAAAACATCTTTGTCGATTCTCTACAGCAGCGAGAAGACAAGAGAAGAGGGCCGGATCAATCCTTCGATTCACTGACAACCGGTGATGGATGACGGAGGGCCAGATTAATACAATTTTAAGCCGTGGCAGAAGTAATGTTTTGCTTCGCGAGACAAAAGGGGCAGAGATGAGTATGTGTCTTATAGGATTAGCTGGTGGGTACAGTAATAACAGGGAAATTATGCCACAACAAGGAGCCGTGCATATCTCTTCAACACGTGGTCAGCTGGAGATGGAGACGAGACGACAAAGAGAGAAACAGTGGGGAGGCTGAGCCCAGGCAGAATGGATTTCCACACTGCCTTATCTGTCCCTGTCACGAGTACACAAACACAGGGGACCATTTGTTTTAAGCCTCTGTACACAAACACATGCACAGTTAAAGGCTTTAATAGAAATCCCAAATGCATAAACAACTGGTGAAAAAGAGAGAGAAAGAAATGGAAGACAGGCATTGTAGACTGTAACCATGTACATTTACTGAAGTAGTTTGCTCAGAACAACTTAAACTTAAGTATCTATACTTTGTTACTTTATACTTCCAGTCAATTTCAGTTTGTTAGTGTACTTTTGAATCTACTGTGGTTAGCGTGTGTAATATGATGTATTATTACAGTAAAGTCAACCCAACTGATACCACAAATACTAAAACAAGCTCCGCCTGCATCATTCAGTTCATATTTTCAGAAACTGTGGGAACGTTATGGGATGGAACAGATCAGAGTTGCACTACTGAACACTCAGATTTATGGAGGTTGATTTCCAACCTCCATCATTGAGCTTATAAACACTTTCTGTTCTCCTCCTCTCCTCATAATACAGATGTCATCCTACACACACACACACACACACTCCGTCTTCCGTTTCTTTCTTAATAATCTGCACCATTCATTTTAACTCGTGCCATTAGTTAGTAACTGGACAACTCATCATTTATGAAGGCCTCGATGTACGGAGTAAGTATTTGCATTATTTAAACAAAGCAAGACATGGAATAAATATTTACATATAGTTCACAAATTGTTTTTCATTTTTTAAAACCTTGGCATACAGTTTCCATTTGTGTGATGAAGTATTTGCTTTAAAGCAAATCCATTTGCTGTAAATCTGTGATCTATTTCAATGTTTGTTTTTTAAGTAGCCATGACCATATGCAATAAGTGAATTAATTAATAATTATTATAGACGTGATTATGACAAGGCTGTGTGGGTGTAGCTCGGTCAGATGTGATTTACAGTGGCCTGGCGACGCAAACAAACAACCCCACATCCGTCATCACATCTTGATTCAATTGTGAAAACCAGTCGTCACAGAAAGATGTGAAAATCTCCAAAGCTGTTGTGACATCGGCAGAACACTGTGTTCATGAAGGACCATTATTCACAGAGAGGAGCTGCTTGAGAAAATAGGTTTCGAGGGCCTTTACAGCATCTGAATAGTTGTTCCACCACCAGACACAGGTCTGGAATGCACAAACAAAAATGTGTATGACAGTGATTAATCATTTAGGATTAGGATTGGTGGGATGTTAATGGTGGTGCTAACAGCAGTCGAAAGGCGGTGATAGGAAGAAGTGACGGATGATGGCAGCAGCAGTGTGTGCAGTAAATCCCTTAGCCAGCCTTGTTTTGTCATATTAATGACGCTCTCGCATAAACATTACCCCCTGGTTTGCCACACTCCCCAGTGGTGAGGGAGCAAACATATGCTCTGCTCCACCGAGGCTTGTATGGAGGGACTGCGGCGTGTGTGTGTGATTATGTATTCATGCGCACAAATGCATCATATATTACTAAATAATTGTGACTCAGTGTGAGTGTGAATGCAAGAGTGCGTTTCTCTGCTGATGGCTCACATCTGGACGAAACAGACGTCTGGCTCTCTAGGGCAAGTGTGTGTGTGTGTGTGTGTGTGTGTGTTAGTGAGGGACAGTGTGTGTGTTTGTGCGTGTGTCTTTTCATGTTGCTGGAGCATCGCCAAGTCGAGTCCACGGCCGCCATTCCCAGTGACAGGCCACAGCTCATAAGCAGAGGGTCTGAAGTGAGTCAGGGTGAAAGAGAAACACAGCAGGGGGTTAAGGCCCCCCCCCACGGGTGCAAGACTGATCACAACAACAAGTGTTGAACAAAGTGGAAACGAGAGACGAGGGGATGGATATCTAGAGGAACATAAAAGTCAAAGGTTAAACAAACAACATCGGCCCAGATAATGAGGAAATCAGATCTGTGACCGTGTTTCAATTTACTGTGTGAACACACCATGTTTAAATACAGCGAAGATTTGGTACAGCCTCTGTCCAACAATACTTTTATGTTTCATTACTTCAGATCAGAATCTGATTTTGGTTTTATGAGAAATGTGTTTTCCTTTGCTGCACTACATTCACTTTATTTTGAAAAACAATGGGAAGCAAACTTCAGTGTCAACATCAAAAAGCTCCCTCGGTGTTTCTGCGGTTGGCAGGACGCTCAGATGTTTTAAATGGCTGATGTTCTGTGCGTGACACTGACGAGTGAGAGAAGACTGGCATCGAGCTGGGTGGATAAACGGTTATTATGAAAACTACTGCAAATACGTTAACTGACCCACTTTCATGGGAGACAGCTGTCATTGGCTAAACTCACTGTAAACACAGACTCCAGTGTTCAGATGTAGATCCATACACTTCACTGCTAATCCACAGAATTACACATAATTACACAACTCAAATAAAGTTGAGTTTCAGATTAACTTTCATTTCATTTGCATTTTTGCTCAAACTCATGCGGAAGCCTCATATTAACTTCTGCTGGATTTAATATATTTCTACACAGAACAAAGAGTGTGGTTTTATTTCCATCACTCAGACAGAATTTTTGGAAGTCACTCGCTGCTGAAGTTTAGTTTAGTTTAGTCTTTTAATAATTGTTTCACATGGTGATTAAATACTCGTATCATCGTCTCCGTTTCATTTATTTCTTCTTCTGTCACGATTCAACATAGACAGAACTTAGTAGAAGTTAGTTTATGGTCTGTAAAAATGCAGATATCTTCGAGAAACTGTTCATCAGACTCATACGGATACTGACTCAACACTTGAATGGCCCGACTCTACCTTTATATACACGATACCCTTCCTATCTTTTTGTTCACATATTCATCTCTGCCCCTTTGTCTCGCAGAGCACGTTTAAGTGCTTGCTGAAATGAGTGAAATCGCTGAAGGTATCTCTGTCCCTGAGGTTTGTGGTAAAGCTGATCATCATGCAGCTCACATCACAACCAGCTGAGGTCAGAGGTGGAAAGCCATGTCTGGGAAGCGATTATTTGAAAATTAACTTTAATTCAGACACGTCCGACCCAGGCTGAGAGGAGGGTTGTGAGGAGGTAATCTCTATAAACAAAATGTACCATGTGAATATACGGGACGTGTAGCTGAGGGACAGCTGGCAGTTTTCTGGTTTCTGTTTCTAGGTTGACTTCTCACGTTAGAGCAGTTTACTCACAGTCTGTGTGGAGAGCGAAAGAGGGGGGGTGGTTATTGCATCAGCTATCAGCTTTTAAAATAATCTTCAATATATGCAGATAGCGGTAATAGAGATTAGCCAACAGACAGAAGTGCAATAGATGCTGCATATGTGTTGATCCCAACCACTGCTGCTGATGTCACCTGTGTTGACTTAAGTTTAACAGTTGCTTTTAGAATGAATCAAATATTAATTACTATCTTGTTGCTGATGCATTTAA